CTSYTKTYTTMTTMWWYGAWSAAGAAGAATATTAGTACAGGTGAACCAGAAGCARTCATGCAGAGTGCAGCAGAAATGCAGAGAGATATTCTAAGGTATTCATCTTCTCTCTTCCTGGACATGTTGAAAASTGCCACCAGTCATGTTGGCTGGAACTTTTATTATGGTACCACAGTTTTGGATTCTGAAATGAAGGTGAGGGTTGTTGCTAAGTGCCTCTGTTGTGTCAAGTCAAATGAAATGTATGCTTGGGGACTGTCAGCCGTGCACCCACTAGTATGGAATTCTTTTTGGATAAGCTAGTGATTTGAGATCTGCTGCAAATGCTGTCCACCACAGACACTTGCAAATTGAGATTTGATCATTATCATTTGTTTCAGATTRTATTTCTAGATTTCTTTGGTAGGAGACTATGGGAACAACAACTTCAGCCTATCATGGGGGCTATGTTTGKTGCCTGTTGGAATGACTGCTAYCAACAGGCTGTGAGATTTTCTGGAGCAACAAGTCACATTTTGAATACCTTCAGAGAATCCAATCAAAACTTGAAACCTATTCAATGAAAGAAGMCAGCRATTTTCCATGCTTACAAGATGCATGGAGAGGTCCAGAAAGCTACAAGAAAGTAMCTGGAATGGAAAGTGGAGGATGGAATTGTACATTGGGACAGAGATTAGGCATCCCATTGAGCTGTGTTGAGGGTTCAAGGTGAAAGGTGYAATTGTGGGTTTTCACATGATATGGATTTCCAGTGTCAGCATGGTGAACTGAAAGTTGATGKGGGATTTCCTTGTATACAACTTTGGAGACAAGTGATGGTTACAGGATTACAAATTGATACAACTACGACATCCCTAATTCTCCAATCTTCTAGTATATCCAGTGGATCTAAAAGTTTTTGGAGGAACAGGAGTGGTTTTGCTGATGTTCCTGATGATGATGAGAATGATACTATTGGTTGCATATCCACAACAGGAACTGAACAAAATATTTTGTCAAGGCAGTTGTATTATGCTGTGGCTCAGCAGTCAAAATTCAACACTATGTGGAGACTCCTAGATATGAACGAAAATTACAACTATTCTGCATTGCAATGTGGAGACTCCTAGTAGATAAGAACAAAAAACTACAACTATCCTGCATTGCAGGTTGGAACAGTACATGGAGAGAACTCAACAGAAACAGAGTATTGAGATTGAATCATGGGTGGGAGATCATCCATCAGCCCTGGGAGTCATTGAAGGAAATCCAATTGGGGCAACACAACAGAGGCCAGCAGTTCCACTTAGAGGCATTATGAATGTTGCACCATCTGGTAGATCAATGGGTAGATATAAGAGTTCATGAGAGCAGAGAAARAGGAAACAGGTTGGGTCAGCACCACCACCTGTCACAGGCACAATCAATAAAAYAAAGGCATTTAGTTTTTGCAGAGGGGCTGGCACATTCTGGGATTCCATTGCCTAAGAATCAATACATGGGTGGATCAATGCTGACTAGAAACAAGGAGGAATTYGAACAGAGGTTAGACTTTGTCAAGCAGATGTTTTGCATGTCGTCTTCATATGCCATTCTTGACTTCCCTCTGGATAGAAATTCTTCAGATGTCATCAATGAGATTGGCCAAGGTACTAGAGGGATTGCCATTTGCAGATGCTTTGTCTTTGCTGGTGACAATCTTCATGTACTTATTTTTGCTGAATGTACATTGCTAAAAGCAGAGGGGAAACCCTGTTGTGATGTGAAMAAGAATGTGTTGTTTGCAGTTGAGGCAGTGGAGCAATACATTTTGCACTCAAAGAATAGTGTGATTATCATAAAATTAGCTAGGGTTGACAATGGAACTGAACTTCTTCAAAATTCTATTATTATGTCCCAAATGTCAATCGTATCACATTTCTCACAAAACTTGGGTGCAATGCCTGGTTGTGCAATGATGAACTTCTCAAATGAGGAGTTTGTTTAGTGGAGCAGTCACATTTAGTACTACTACTATAAGGTGGCTACATAAAAAAATATAAATATTAATATTATATTAACCTTGTGAACTAGAAGAGGCACTATGTGGGCCAGAACCAGAACCAGAACTTCTCATAGTAGTTTGCATGGTACGTTTGGTAGGGGCAGAGAACAAAGAAATCTTTGGTGATGCGGAGGGTTTGTGTCGTTTCTTCTTGGAGTACGCGTCAAAGACCAGCCCATCTTGTGTGACGCTCTCTGGTGGCTGTTTACTATGAGGCAAATGTGAAAAGTACTGGGTAATAGGGCAAGTGTTGGAGACAGAGGAAAGCGACGCTTTGCTGACACTTGCCAGAATCGTTTTCTTGTAGACTCGATGGTAATATGTGAGCATAGAAGTAGATGTAGTTGATAAGAAGGTTTCCATGTCATCTGGAAATAGGTAAGTGTGTGATGGACAGGTCTGTGGTTTCAATTCAAACAAAGTGCAGACTTTCATCACCACTCGCTGTTGATGCTTTGCTTGCTTCTGAGAAAGCATATGGCCATGAAGATCCTTATTTCGCTGTTCCCATAAAGATATCTATGAGGTAAGAAAGAATTCCAAAAGGTCTTGGTTGAATACTGTGGGCTGGGTTTGTTATTGTTGCTGTCCAGCACAAATGTTAGAAACAACAACAACAATATCATGACCGGATGGTGCTGCTGGTGGGAATGGTCCTTTTGGTGGGAACAATGCAATGGGACTGAGAATGCAAAAATTTGTGATCTCCAAGGGTGGATGCCAAACATGGAAAGCTTGCTGATAAAAGAATTATTGTTGCAAAAGGAAAGGAATAAAAGGCTTCAGGCTGCATGCAATAGAGCTGCAATGGCTCCAGTTGCCAGAATACTAGCACTGAACAGCAGCAAGCAATTCTCTCAAGGAATCCTTCAAACTTGTTTACTATCTGGAATGAATGATAATCTGGATTCACTGGCAACAAACCAGCAAAGAACTTCACTGTAGCTGAAAGGAACTCCAAGGAAAACAAATTTGTTTATTGCAGGAGGAAACCCTTTTGTTTGCGTTGAAAGAGTAGTGAAGAACAGAGCAGGCAGTGCTCACAACATAACCCACACAGTATACAGTGTGTACAGATAGGAGAAGACTGTAACAGATATCCTCAAGGCTCTTGCAAAGCATGAAAGGCAAGGTGGTCATGGGCAATCGAGATAGACAGCTGCTGCTGGTTGATTGCTGAGTTTCTTGTTGACACAGTTGTTTGACGCCTACAAGCTTGCTCATCACTGTTCTGCACAGGATGCGTCGTCTGGACGGAGGCCTTGTCGTATTTTCTCCATTTTTCGTATTACTCCTTCACCAACACACTCAAGCAACAATGAAACACAAGGCGAAGATGAGTCGTTGCTCCTCCTTCTTTCTTCTCTTCTCTAATGCGCTCGGCACAACAATGCAGTCATGCCAACGCTTTGCTTGGATGAGCGTTGTTCGCTCTTACCCCGATTGATTCGCCGGCCTTAATTGCATACTGCTTAGTATGTTTACCCTTGTAATAGTAACTAGTTGACTGTTATTATGATATTTGAACTGTTAAGGATAGTTGACTGCGTGCTGTGGCTTGTTGTCGTCTCAAGTTTCGATGCTTACCAATCGTCGAGAATTGTCTTCACGACTTGTGTTTTTTATGTGCTTTTTCATGGAAATTKACTTATCGAAAATCATGTGAGTATTTCTTTTCATCTGATGGGCATCAGTTGGTCATGCTCCTCTTGATTGTTTGGTCAGTATGATTTGAACAAAGTGCACGTGCATAGATTTGTACATGTTTTCGTGCTTTTGATTTTTTTGTTGAATTATTGACGTTTTCCCACGGTAGAATGGATCGATACGAACCAAAACAACACACGCAAGCGAAGGCACGACCTGCCTCGSATGCTCCGCAATTTTGTGATAGTTTTTACACCTGTGTTCAGTGTTTGCGGTGTCCTTGCGAATGAATCATTGCCTCGACAGCCCCTAGATTCGTTCCCTCTACCCTCGCGACTTCTCTCCCATTCCGAAAAAACACGAATGTAGGAAAGGCTTTGATTTCGACGAAGACGTCCAAAAACGAAGGGTCCAGATCTTCCTCGTAAACGTATCCAATCGGGATCGGCGATTTTCTCGAGATTTCTCCCTTTAGCTGCGGCTTGCAGGCCTTGCAGGGACCGCACCAAGTAGCGCTAAATGTCACGACACAACCGTCGGTTTCGTATTTGTTCAARAAGTCTGTCAGTTCGTTCTCCGTAGCGATTTCTACAAAGTTTTGGTGGTTGCTGCAGGATAACATGGTGTTCGGTATCTGGTTGCGTTCCGACTTTTTTGTGGAATGTGCTGTCTTGTCATGTTTGCAGTTGGCGAGGATGTGACTCGCGATTTCGGGAACGAGAGGCAACAGACGTAGCGCATAGTACAGCATCGTAGCCAACGGAAGTATCGGTAAGACACCAAAAAACTACTAGTATTCTTAGTGTTGTGTAACGTAACGTTCTWCGTTACGTTCGTAAGAGGAGGCAAAAGCTGAAGAGGTTAACCGCCATCAATTTAGCAMTGGTGCAGCATATGTCAATATTGATCATGCGTGTAAACCTGAACTTGAGCTTTACATTCGTTCTGAGCGCTTGGCCTTAGTCAAGATAATTGGAAGTAAGACAGTTAACAATGATCCACTCAAGTGGTKGAAAAAGCACCAGGGAAGTTATCCAATTCTTGCAAGGCTGGCCAAGATCTATCTTCCTCGTCACACAAACGKGWTCCATGGTGTTGCGCATTTCGCGCGGTCTATACCCTTAAATTTTCTGGTCCTACCGTTAGTTTATGAATTACAAATTAATTTWTYGAACATYTAATTTTATTCCTTGTTCTGGGAACATGTTTTCTCAATCACGCTCTTATCTATCCCCTTATCCATCGAACTTCATGGTCTATGCCCGAAAATTAGTATCCTTGGACCCTACATTCCTTCACCCATGCGTTGATTGTTAATATGGGTCCTCCCAAGCTCAAGGTGTTTTGCCAGAACTGCCATGGGTCCTGTGATTGCAGTACCCAGCGCCCCATATTCTACAGTGCCAAACGCAACAAAAAACAGGTGCCATCACATCTGCCAAATTATTGACTCATCTCTCCGAGAGTCGTATATGTTTTTACTATTATTCTCTATACAGTGACGGTGTCAATGATTACAGCTCTTCTCTCTGCAACATCCCGCTGGACAAGGAGGATGTCAGCAGACGATTTTGTTTAACCAACACTAATCATGGTCCCGCAAGCGGTATGCCCAAAACTCTCGACCGTCAAGTGATGTACAACCCATCTGTGGAACTCGTTGATCGATGCCTGATTGATTCTGAAATGAATGCTGTCGATTCTGATCTTGATGATGATGCGCCAATATTTGACTCTGTCAACTCTGCAGAGCAAGWCACAGCCGACTCCAACACAATAATTGTTACTCCCTGTGTGAATAGGTATGTTTCTGCTCCAACCAAAGTGAAAATAAAACTGATGAAGATCATGAGAGACCACAACATACCCTTAGTCGCTGAGAGGGAACTTTACAAGTGGGCCATTGAATCTGAGAGTTTACCTGGTTTTTCTTGGAGTGCCAGAAACTGTTTAATTCAARCCYGTCAGAAAGTTTTTGAGGAATGCTACAAAATAGCGCCGGAACTACGCAATGATCATTTTGAACCACACCTCATYKATTGGTCRTCAAGYGGCGTCGTTGGTCATAAACAAATATACGTGAGGTCCTTCYGACGGGCRCTTTTTTYCCTCCTTACTAATGYATCTTTGATCAAGGAAGAGAATCTCTCCTTCCCCAACCAAACAAACCCTACGTCTTTAGTCYGCGACCCYGAACTTACTCCAGACACCGTTATTTCCGAACTCCRTCASGGGCAATGGTGGCTGCGAACTTGGAAGGAAAAGTGTGTCCCGAATAGCAATGAGATTCTTGTGCCAATTATACTGTATATGGATGGTATTGCTATTGATAGACATGGAAGCACAACACTATGCCCTCTTAACATGACTCTTGGGATACTAAGCAATTATACCCGTTCAACCAGACCCGACGCTTGGGAGACAATGTACTTTCATCCACAGGAAACAAGCAATCAATCCGTGGACAACGTCAATAATCTCCATCATGGTTTACGAGCTGCTTTTACCTCTTTCAAAGAAGTATGCAAGTCCTCCCATGCTATTGAATGGAGGAATTGTCCATGGAACAGGAGGCTTTTTAATGTGAAAATGAAGTTTGCGATTGCATTTTTCATTGGGGACACAGAGCAGCACGACAAGCTCTGTGGTCATTACACCTCTGCGAACACTAGAATGATATGCAGACATTGCAGCTGTCCCCGTGCCCTTGGAATCAACGCCAAAGTCAACGTGCTCAACGCATCCGTTATCAAAGAGTTGGAAGCACTGGAAGCCCGTACAGGGAAGGATTGCGACACTGACATGTTGGAAGAAGAGACAGAAGAATGTTCTCGGTACAAGAGGTTGAAAGAAACACCTAAAGGAGATTGGACGATGTATTTGCCTTCCCTTCATTTATGGCGTCTGTCAGATTTCAAAGAGTCATCTGTTCCTGAAGGTGTATCCCTTGGTCAACATTGGCGTAACATATCTCATCACAACGTCCTACGTGGCAATGCTTTCCACGAACTTGACTTTGGGGCAAATCTGCATAGCATAGCATACACCTGGCTTCTCCTGGGGAGAGACTTCACATGCACCAGTTAGGCTGTGCAAAAAGAGCTGCTGAAACCTTCCGTGACGYATTTCTTGGAACTTCAAAGAAACTTCTTGAAGGGATGGACTCTCTAGCTAACTTCTATGGATCCTCACTCCAGAGACAGTCCGATCGTGACTTTCCTCGCACCAATTTTTCDGAGTCTATACACACCGCAAAGAAGGAGGGTAACCATTTTAGTGGAATGCTGTTACTGCAGATCCTCTGCTTGTTATCAGATGAAGGTTGCAGGCTACTAATCAACCGTCATACCAAAGACATGATAGACGGTCGCATTTATGCATTGGAACTGATAYTGGGCATGGAAGAGTTCTTAAAGTGGTCCGACACCACACAAGATATATTTGGAATTGTTTCTCCTGACAGCCAAGGGTTARCCAATGATGATTCCGGCCTTCCGGGTTTGGAAGACGTTTTTGAGTACCCCAWAGGGACGTCTGGAGCATCCAACAACCTGGACAAGATGGTTGTTCATTTCCTTAACATCATCAACAAATACTAAGACTGGGACATGTAGAGACCGTTTTAAAACAAACGCTGACTAATTACATGAGGAACGTTTTGTTCAAGCACATGAAGTTTCCAGTAAATGATTTCGTCATGGAAAACATAGTGAAAAAGCAGGTAAAGGAAAGCACAGGTGGGGAAAATCCACCAGAGGGCCTAGTAATGTCTGCCGGTCGTTGGGCAGGGATGATCAACGGGGCAGTAACTACGTGCAGACATAACGCTCAGACACTGGCTCAAAAAAATTACAAGGGGAAGAAGAGAGGCGATGCATGCAAAACACTGATAAGATAAAATCAATCTAACCATCTCCTTCCATCCTTCCGTCCTTCAAACATTCAGACAATAAAAAAAACAGTGTCGTTCCCCCTACATTCACAGGAAAATGTTTCATAACGGAAAGCGAAGACGACTCGTCGTTTGTGTTGAACCCAGAATACAGGAGAAAAAACACACCGGAGTTCAAATTTTTCATGAGACGGGTATTGGGAGCAGTATCACCAAAACAAAACGACTTTAAGAGAAAGAAACACAAGACACAATTAGTGAAATATTTAGCGCTACAGACAAGGCTTTTGCACTCTTGTTCTTGTTCAATGACTACGAGTCTTGGAACAATTCCGGAAATGGAAAGAAGACGCAAAAACGATTCACGGACAGTAGGGTAGGAAGCAAGGAAGGCTGGAGCTTGGAGTGATGGATGTTGTTCATAAAGCTTGTGAAAGAGATAACAAAAAGAAGGGCAGAAGAAAGTTCAAGAACAATTGAAATGGCGTTAATGGCACACTACAGAGAATCGGTAGGTGAAGACAGAGAGGAAAGAGAGAGAAAGAAAAGAAAACTGCAGGAAGAGGAATTGAACAATGTCACAGAAGTATGGGACGCGAGTATGTTTAAAGATGCAGAAGAATTGTTGGGCCAATCAGTATAAATTCAAAAATTATTAAAATATTATATCACTAAGAACTACAAACAAACAATAGACATAAAAATACAAATGGGATACGGCGAAAATTGGTTCTATCGTATAGGCTGGGCCAAGCAAAAAAAGATGCACCAGTCGTACATTAGCAATTCAATATATACGTAAACTTATATCAGTGAATATTCGTCGTACGCCGTACTCTCCCACGCCATTAGAAAGCTCTTTGAATTCTCGTTTTAACCATGTGCTTATCATACTTAAGCGTCCGTTGGTGAAAAAGTTACAGCCAAAACGGTCAGTTCAAGACTGAAACAGTTATACGGTTAAATTATACGTGTGCGTGGATTAGCAGCCATCTAATCACTATGTAATGACTCGTGGGATTAAAAATTTGACTTGTACTAGGCCTACAGCATGCACGTGAAAGCAACTTGTGGGATTAAAAATTTTGTTAGTTGAGCACGTGCGCGCGAAACTATTTGGTCGCATGAATGCGTGCCCGCTGTACACTGTCTGCATGTGCGAGCAAAACTATTTTGGTGGGATTCAAAAATTCGATTACGTACTGAGCACGTGGATTTCGTATGGTTAAATTTTTAATCCCACGAGTCGTTACACGGTAATTAGTAGATGGCCCATAATCTACAACTGGGACCGTACATTAGCTGGCCAACTCTATACCGTAACAAAAATCGTTGAATGTCAAACAAAAATATAAAAAGCCGAAATAAGATAAGACAAACCTTCGAACAGAATATAAAAGAGAAGAATAGTTTCTGTTGTTAGAAAAAGAATGTTGGTAAAACCAAAAGAAAAACCAATACAATGGCTTCAATTCTGAAAGAAAATATAAGAAAAATGTTGAAATGATGATATTTTAGAGGTTGTAATGAGAAAATGAACGGCAACGATAGAAAACAGTACAAACCCTAGAAAAGGGCATGAAATTTGTGCTGAG